AGTCATTCAATCCTAAAAGACTTTTAAACCTTCGGTGTAATAACATGTAGCTCTCTGGTGCGTCGATTCAGGGAGTGTATCAGTTATAACATAGCCTCAGTCCATTTCCTGATTTTTAATACTTATTTTTATTACTTATTACAGTGTGTGGTAGGTTGTTTGCTTGCTGGTAGCATTCCAGAGCCTTTGCCTCTTTTTCTGCCAGTTGCCTTGTCAGTATTTTCTCCTCGCGTTTCTCCTTTCATATGACGACGTATACAGGCAGGATCCACAGTTGAATGGGTTTGACCTCTGATTTTGTAGCCAAGTGAACTGGATTCTCGAATTAGGAATGTTTGTGGAACAAAGTGGAGGGGGGTGACTGAACTTCACACTTGACGGCTGCTGGTTGCTGCGTGTCTGCTGACCGGGTCATTTGAGCGTGAGCTTTGCCATGTTATTGCACATATAGTATTATTGCAAAAGCCGTATTTAAAGAGCAGTGAAATATTATGGAATGAGAGCTTTTCAAGAAGAATGTCTATTTGGAAAAGATTGGAATTTGTATTAATGGACGTTGCTTGCTTCAAAGTGCAGTTTATTGGGAGTGTATGATTTCAAAGATAAATGCTTCATATAAAATACAACTAAATTAAATAAATGTGTAAACGTTAAAGTGGCAGCCTATATACAAGCTGTCGGCTATGACATGCGTCAGCTGCATGGCAGATGTGCTTCAGTAAGCAATCACTTCTCGACTGATGGGGGTGAACGCCAGCCGCTACTGCCAAAATGTTTGGGTCCACTGAGCCGCTAGCCTGTCCGTGAATGCCCCTCCCGCCCTTTAACAAGCCATGCTCTTAACAACGTAAATGACTTTTCAGATAAAATGTCAGCGTTTCACAATTCTTCCTACATCTTTGGGCACATGACTGCATTTCTGCACATGGGACTGATCTTATGACTGATATGATTCATTCCAAGATTCCACAGCAGTAGGTAATTTTTTTAAATGATTTTTATAATGGTGGTTTCCCACTGTGTAGGCACACTGCTGAAATCGAGACGTAAACAGTCCAAACTTAAACCACCCTCACCCCCGCCTGGGCTGCCTGCATCTGCTCCTGCCCCTCACGCCAGTCTCTCTCCCCCCGCCCCACCCCACCCCCAGGCTCATCTCTGCTCCCAGCTCTTTCTCTGTCCGGCTGCTGCTCTCCTGTCCTCTGCCCAACTTGACCCCCCTTGTTGGCAAGAAGCGAATGTAGCGGATGCTGCAAAAATAGCAGAGTTAAATAAACGCAGACACGCTGATAGATGACTGTAGAAAGGCTGCATATAAAGATACCAGCGGGGGCCTGGAATAAACTCCTCACGGGCCGCTCCTTTCTTTCTCTGTCTCTGGGGCTCTCTCCGTCACGGGAGTGTGCTCTACTGCAGCTGTTGGGCTGTACAGCACCTGTCAGCTGCTGATCACGGGGTGCTGACAGACAGGTGGCCATCATGCCATCTCTGAGACTCGCAGCGCCACCGTGCAGCAGGGGGGCCTCTGTGGCTGAACGTGACGTGTCCATGTGTCCCTCTCCCTGCCTCTGTGTGCCTCACTCCCCACCCTCTGCACCACCGGCCTCTTTGTGTCACTCTCCCTGCCTCTGTGTGCCTCACTCCCTACCCTCTGCACCCCCGGCCTCTTTGTGTGCCTCTCCCTGCCTCTGTGTGCCTCACCCCCTACCCTCTGCACCCCCGGCCTCTATGTGTCCCTCTCCCTGACTCTGTGTGCCTCACTCCTCACCCTCTGCACCTTCAGCCTCCATGTATCCTGCTCCATCAGTTCGCATGCCTCACTACCTACCATCCGTACCCTCAGCCTCAACGTGTCTGGTATCTCCAGCCTTTGTGTGCCTCGTTCCCCACCTTCTGCACCTCCGGCCTCCTCAGGTCCCGCTCTCTGTGTCCGCGTACCTCACTCCCTACCGCTGGCCTCTGTGCACTTCACTCCCCACCCTCCGCACTCCCGAACTCTCCGTGCCTTGCTCCGTGCCCTTCACACCCCCAAATCCGCACCCTTGGCCTCCGTGTATCCTGTTCCTCACCATCTGCACTCCCTGCCTTCCGCAACCTTGACCTCCGTATGTCCTATTCCTCCCCCTCTGCACTCCCTGCCTTCCTCACCTTGGGGTTCCGTGTGTTCCCCTGAGTTTTCCCTCATGGGTCCTTGTTTATTTTGTCAGCACCTTAAGGAAACCTGCTGATCCACTTCATGTGCTTGTAGACTCAGATCTTCCGGCATAGACTCCCCTACTCTGTCGAAGAACCATGCTGATTTACGGCTCTTCGGAAGCCCTCAATCTGCACTAGTTATGTGGTTTATTTATTAAGTAGTGTGATTTGAGTTAATTAATTTGTATTAATTCATTTCCACTTATGTAGAGGAGTCATGCATTTTCAGCTTGTTTCCTAGACAATGTTTCCTTTTTGATAGAATTCCGGGTTGTCTGAAGAATGAGACTCCACGGTGTATTAGGTGGGGTATTTTTATTTTTTTTTGGGGGGGGGGGGCTATGGCAGCCTTGTGTCTAATACCAGTGAATGCTGGAGTCCTGCTTTAACAATGGAAGGCGTCTGTCAGTGAGGCAGGAGTAAGCCTCTGTTTATCCTGACAGGGCTGAGGGTATGCTATTGTTTGGGAAACATTAAAGGATAGCAAACAAGATAATAGCTATTAATAGTAAAGGCAATTTCAGCCTTAATGGTATTGAATTTAAGCCTTCTTTAGTTTCTCAGAGGTTCTGTTGGTTTATGGGGAGTGAGAAGCTGCAGTATGGATTGAGGTAGATCCGTTTGATTTTTGAAAACGCCGTGTGTGAGTGTGAGTGCACACCATCGCACGTCTCACTCCGCCTGTGAAAAGTGCACGTGTGGTTGCACATGAAAGCGTGTCACTCTGCACACAGTATGAGAGTCTGTCAGAGCGTCTGCGGGTCACAGTGAGACCGTCTCATCCCCATCTGTCCCTCGCCCTTCCCCCCGCCCCCGCTCTCTCCCTTTCTTCATAGAAATCCGATTATCCACCCTTCGTTGGTTAACGAAAGCTCCCCATCTCCCCCGCTGTGGGATGAGACTGGACGGAGGGGGCACTAATTATCACCTAATTGCCCCTCTCTGTCTGCACAGCTGCTCCTGGGGTGAATTTGGGAGTGGTGGGAGAGGATGGCCGCCGCAGAGACGTCGCTGCGTCCGAATTGTGTGCAGCTCTCATTGGCATCCATTAACTTTGTGTGCCTTTCAGGGGAACTCACAGCATTTAGCTCAGGGTCTGGTATCAGTAGTGCCTCACTTTTTTCTCAGGGGCTTCGGGTTCCTCTCAGCCCTCATTACCCATCCAAACTTAGCATCTCTTCAAAACCTTCCTAATGTCACAGCGAAGTCCAGAAGCTGAGTCTACACCTCGCGGTTGCTGTTGGGAAACGGTGCAGGGCCCGTCACTAGAGCGACCCAAGGAATGTCACATACCCACGTGGCAGAGCATGTATACATAACCCAGGCTCTGATATATCCCCCAGCACGGCCCTGTTTGCCCTTCCCATTCACGCGAGGGTGACGACAGGAGGTGGCTTTTGGTCTGTTAAAGTGGAGATCAGACAGGAACAACCTTTTCAGTATAAAACAGTAACTTTTCAATTGAAGCTGCTGAAACGTTATTTTTCACTGAGTATTTTTCACGGAGTGCTTTTCTTCACTGGTTTATTGAAGCAGTCCAATAAAATTCACTTTATTAGCTGACCAGAAAGTTCCACACACTGCCAGCAATCCCTGAGATCTGCAGGCAAAACGCCCCAGGAAGCAGGTCCCGATTTAGCCCTGACCACAACTATCTGCTTAGTAAATGTACCCCCCCCCCGTGTGAACAAATCTGTGGTCTAACACAGAGCAGTCGCCCCCGTGCATAAGAGACATCCCCTTAGCAGTCGCTCTGATCCAGCTTGCTTGATCTCCCCAAACTGATCAAAGCCTCTGCTTATGTAAGTGCTTAGTCAGTCGTCAATACTTCACAGGGGACTCAACCTCGCCCTGTCTCCTCTCTCCCCGTTTCCTTGCCCAGTCTCCTTGACCTGTCTCCTTGCCCCTGAATCCGAGCCGCTCTGAGGACTTGTAACACAAGGGGTGGCGCCATGGCAGTTGGGAGCGNAAGTGCTTAGTCAGTCGTCAATACTTCACAGGGGACTCAACCTCGCCCTGTCTCCCCTTGCCACGTCTTCTTGCCCAGTCTCCTTGACCTGTCTCCTTGCCCCTGAATCCGAGCCGCTCTGAGGACTTGTAACACAAGGGGTGGCGCCATGGCAGTTGGGAGCGGGCTGCTTTGGCGGCGAGGGGTGTGTGTGGTGGGAGCCAGAGAGGTCCCATACCTTTCCGTTGTCCAGAAGGAGACATAATTGAAAGAGGAAAGGTGTGTCTGAGGAGAGATACAGGCACTAGGACAGCAGCACCTCACATTCCTCGTTTGTGGCCCCCAGGGACAGGATTTCACAGCAAGAGCTGGAGTGTGGGAAGAGAGATCTTGTTTTCAACAAATTGCTCTGATACAGGTTTCTCTCCCAGGCTGTCTACAGCTCAAATTGCAGTCGATCTGCAGGTGACTCTACCCAGAAAAGCTGCCCAAATATAGTCCACTTTGCCTATTTAGTTTTTAGGATAAGTACCCCAGGAGTGCGAGAGCACAAATGCGAGAACTGTACTCAGTTTTTCAGTCTGAGCCTTTAAAAACCAAGCCGCCTACTGCCTGCTCTAAACACTGTACGCATAATGCAATGGACCATGTGCTTCAGGTCTCTGGGGCCTCCTTAACACCTTAATTTGTTGATGCTACTTTAGGGTAGCGTAGATTTCTTTATGACCCTAGAAGCCTTGGCCACTTCTCTCTCCCACATTCTGTCTTTCATTCACACGCTCTCCGTCATGCCTGTCTTGACCTCTAAGATCCCGCAAGACACCACTCACCCTCTTGCCCCCCTGTCCCTCTCCAGACTGCTGGTGCGCAGTGATGGTTACAGTGACCCCCAAAGTGGACGCCATCAAGGGAGAGACAGCCATCCTGCCCTGCTCCTTCAGCTCGCCGGTGACCCTTGGCAACACCTTCATTGAATGGTTCATTGTGAGTTACCTACCAGAGCCAGCGTGTCCTTGGCTACCTGAGTAGCTGTGTTCCACATGCCCTGTTATCCCCCTTAGTATTTTTTTATATAAATGTTTAAATAACTTCCTTACTTTCTTTCACTCTCACATTTTCCATGAGTTCCTGTTCTAATACCAGCTGCTTCAGTGTCGTTTCTGTAATGTTCCTGCTATGTTCGAATATCACAAATCCCCTACAGCAAAACACAAATTAGATTGCTAAAATCCTTCTATCCTGTTCTATAATGTTCACCAATTTCCAGTGCAGTTGGGAATGATTCTTAGAAGGAAAATTTAAAAACAGTAGTTGGACATGAATAATTAATTTAAAGTTTTCTTCCTGTGTTTTCTTAGGAGGAGGGTGGATCACGAAAGCGGGTGGCCTTCAGGACTGTGTCAGGCGCGACTGAGGGCATTGATGAGGGCAACCAGCTCTCGGGCCGGGTGTCCATGGGGCAGAACAACTCACTGTTGATCTCTCCAGTGAGGGTGGAAGACGAAAGGCGCTTTCACTGCCAGGTGACAGCAGGCATTTCTGGGACCGGAGAAGCAACTACCAAGCTCAGTGTCTTCTGTGAGTGCACCGCCATGTAATCGTCAGTGTTTAGTGTTCATTGTTGTTGTGCTACACCCTGTCAGTGTTCATTGTTTTTCTGTGAGTGTCCCGCCTTTTCAGTGTTCATTGTTTTTCTGTGAGAGCCTCGCCCTGTTTGTGTCCAGTGGTCATTGTTTTTCTGTGAGTGCCCTGTCCTGTCTGTGTTCAGTGTTCATTGTTTTTCTGTGAGTGCTCCGTCCTGTCAGTGTTCAGTGTTCATTGTTTTTCTGTGAGTGCTCCGTCCTGTCAGTGTTCAGTGTTCATTGTTGTTCTGTGAGAACCCCGCCCTGTCTGTGTCCAATGTTCATTGTTTTTCTGTGAATGCCAAGTCCTGTCAGTATACACTGTTTATTGTTTTTCTGTGAGTGCTTTGTCCTGTCAGTGTACATTGTTCATTGTTTTTCAGTGACTGTAATCATTAGTGATTAGTGAATAGTGAGCATTGTTTTTTTTATGAGTGATCCTCCTTGTGATGGAGTGATGGCTCTATGTTTATGATGTCCTATGTTTATTGTTTTTCTGTGAGTGCCTCGCCCTGTCAGTGTTCAGAGTACAGTGTTCATTGTTTTTGTGTGAGAGCCCTGCCGTGCCAAAATTCGGTATACAGTGTTCAGTTTTATTGTTTATTGTTCAGTGTTTTTCTATCACTGCTCTGCGAACATCAGTGTTCATTGCTCTTTGAATAAAATATTTATTATTTATTTATATGTGCCATGAAAACGTAGGTTTAAAACACCACTATGGATTACTCTTGCCATTGCCATTATTTTTAAATGTGTTTTTTTTTTTACTTTTTCCTATTTAATTATCCTCGTATCAGATTTCATTGGTCAGGATTGAGTATTGCTCTATTCCCAGCTGTCATGTTTACTATGCATCAATTAGTCTTTTGACCATTGCCCTGCAAAGGGTCATTTTGATTAATCCAAAGGTTAATTTTCACAGCCCCCAGGTCACAATTGTGAGACAGTCACCCCTCTACCCAGCGGGCATCTGCTGGTGTGTGCATCACCCTGGCTGTCCCATTGTGTGCCTGTCCCCTTGGTGTGACTGTGCTGAAGCTGAATTCCTCCCGGTCTGCCTTTAGGTGTTAAAGAAACAGACTCACTGTGAAATAGTGGATCCTATTTAAAACAATAGGATTTGGAGAGTGTTTATATTAGCAATTTGAAACACCCAACAGAACATTACTGCTCATCAGTCATTGTAAGCACATATCCCCTTATTGCTAAACTTCCCAGAATGCCTTATTCTCCCAGCCTGGTTACCCTTTTTTGCTACTGTTTAGTGTCAGAGTTAATAATATATAAGGAATTTCTCCAGCTTTTGAACAAAGCGGTGGCCTTGTAGGGCCAGTCAAACTAGGACAGAGCTGGAAAGTGACGTTAACTGAGGGACAGTGAAAGGGTTTTCAACAGGGCATAGATACTGAATGTTATTTAATGGAGGGTGTTTATTTTTTGATGTGGGGGGTGCAGGGGGGGACAGCTGAGAGCAGGGATATGGTGACCTGGCATTTGAGTGGCAGGAAGAAACGGAGTACACTGCTATGTGAATTGTTTACTTTGTGCTCTTTGCCTCTTATCGCTGCCGCTCATACCAGACTTGGCAGGGTAACAATCATAAATATATTTACAGTAGTAATTGTCTGTGTGAATTTTGAAGATGTACACAGTGCATATTAAAGTAGCAATACGTCTGCAATGTGTGAGGTTATTTGCAATTGTCTCAGCATCTCAGTAACTGACACTATCAGACAGACAGACAGACAGACAGATAGATACTTTATTAATATTGAAGGAAATTGCAAGTTTATAGTAGCTGAATACACACATTTAGACAGTAAAAAGATATTTAGACATTAATAGACAGTATCAATAAATAATAGATAACAAATAAATTCTATAGTAATGGCTCAAAAACAAATAGCATTACTGTTTTGGACTGAATGCGTAAGGTGCCCTGATCATAGAAGCTATAAAAACTTACGTTGGGATTATGTTGAACATAGGGGATGGGAGCGGTCAACACAAGTTGTAGCACTGGAAGGTGTCAAGTAAACCAAAGAGCTTCCAGGGGTGCCCCTCAGCCCCGATCCACTGCAGACTTTTTCATCCTCCGTCCTACTCCCTGTTTCTTCCATCCAGTTGCACCGGAGAAGCCTGTGTTAGCAGGATCCAGCCAGCCCATTCCTGTGGACCAGACCCCCAGCCCTCAGGTGAGCCTGCTTTACATTCTCTAGCCGGCCGCGGTTTTGCCCTGTGCTACAGGCCAGTTTGCTCTTTTACAAATGAAGGCTGTAGGTCTGAGGGAACATCAGTGTAAGGAGTTGCCATCTTGGTCTAAACAACTCTGACTGTATTAAAGTTGTATTTTTCATGTATTTTAATTTTTTTGCAAATAGTATAACCTGCCTGTTGTTTTTGTCGATTGGATAATAGCTTTAAGGACCCTGCAGGAATACACTTCCCATAATGCTGTTCTATTTTCCCCGCCTCACTTTGGCTCCCTTTGTGTATCAGGTTGGCCAGTGTACCAGCCGGAATGGCTTCCCAGCTCCCCGCCTCATCTGGTACAAGAACTCCAATCCTCTCCCAGAAGTCAAAGACCACAATGAGCGTGAGCACAGCTTTGTTATTAATAATATTCTCAGATGTGTAACACCATGGTGATGATGACAATATAGATGGTGATGGTAATGGTGATGATGATAACAGTGATGGTGACGATGATGATTGATGACAGTAATGCTGATGATCAGAGACTGTCAACATGTTCATACACAGATAAACGTGTCCATAGCAAAATGTTTTAACTGAGGAAAAAAAACTATGCTGGCTATGTTTTACATATCATGTGTGTGGCATTTAAAAAAAATGTCAGCTGGAATTTGCCATGGTGTTGAGCCCTACTGGTGATCACCACAGTCTCTCCTTGTCCCTCCTTCCCTTTGCCCTCCTCTCAGCTACATACATGGTCTCCAGCGTGGTGAAGGAGGCCTCAGGCCTCTTCACTGTGTCCAGCACCCTCTACCTGCGCCCTAAAAAGAAGGACAAGAATGCCAAGTTCCGTTGCACTGTGGAGTACAGCATGCCCAATGACACGATCGACCAGCAGAATTCTGAGTCCTTCACCCTCAACCTCCTCTGTGAGTCACATGGCTCTCATCGACTCTCTGAAGCCCCCAGTAACATAGCTAACAGCTTAAGCTTACAGTACAGTCGGGTCGAACTGAATGAGCCCCATCCTACTGATACAAAATGTCTATGATTCTGCTTTTATTGGCCTCCCACTGCTTGTATTCTGTGGCACCTTCTAGCACATAGTAAATCTTTTCCCACTTCTCCTACATAAAAACACCCCAACATAAAACAGGGTTCCCCAATTACGGTGCTGGAAGGCCAGAATCCAAAACAGTATACAGATTTCCCTGCTTAGACACATCTAACTTGACTAATCAGCAGGTTTAGTAGCTGTGTCTGAGCAGGGAAATCTGCTAACTGTGTTGCAAACTGGCTTTTCAGGACCAGATTTAGGGAAACCCTGACATAAAGATTAATCTTGATGCTGGAGCTACTATTTGTTTGGTTTGCTTTCTGTCAAAATAATTGTCTTGCAGAGAAATCTCACTTTATCTCGACACCAGTCATGAAATGAAATCACAGTAACAAATCGAGTGCATTTGTCCAACCTCCAGTGATCGTCTATCTTTGTTCAAAGTCTCTCAAACAACATTACTGGGTAAAATATGATATCTGATATTTTGCCCTGAGGAAAACAACAGTGATTAAAATTGCCACTGGGCCTCTCTGTCCGTCTTCATGTCATTTTTATTTCTCATTGATCAGATCCCACAGAGGAAGTAACCTTCAGCCTCATGAATTCTGTGCCAGTGAAGGAGGGTGACAACGTGACGATGAAGTGTGTGGCTGATGGCAACCCTGAACCGACATACGATTTCACCTTTATTAATAAGGTGAGGGTGGAGAGGCAGCTCTGTCTTCCTCTGACTTCCTGGAAGATCCATCTGATTTCCTGCTATAGTTAGAGGGTAACAGTAAGAATACAGCTTGTAGCTGACAGTGGGGCATAGGGGAACAAATGTGAAATGTGAAACAATGGGTGCAGGAAAACCATACATTTCTAACGTGACGTTCTGCTCTCTGTCCATGATTTCTTAGGGAAAAGAAACTCCCAAGCATGCTACTGATGGAATGCTGACCCTGCATTCTGTAACACGGGCAGACAACGGGACTTATAGATGTGAAGCTCTGGACTTTGATGCGAAGGATATTGAGCTCACCAAAGAGCTCAAACTTATCGTTCACTGTAAGTGTTAACCCTTGGCTAGCATTACCATCAGCATCATATTTATGGCAATCATTTCTGTACTTAAGGACTAAAATAAACTTAAAATAAGCACCACCATGCCTCATTCTTCCCCCATTCTGTAGATCTGGATCCAGTGAAGATCACTCCTGCTGGATCCCATGTCGTGCCTCTTGGGGAGAGCATCCAGCTAGAGTGTAAGACCAAGGGCTCTGATGTTCACACGTTGGAGTGGAAGAAGGTGAGACTCCTCCGGGTTCCATCATCACAGAATTTCTTGGAAGCCAGATATTCGGCCATGTTGTTGAGCTGGCTCACTGCTTCCTGGCGTGCCCAATGACTGCACTCATGTGTTTTTTCTTTGTGTTACACACTGAGCATGCAGTTTAATCAACTTGCAATATTTTGTGACAGTGCCCATAATTACTTGGGGACGCATACACTTGTACACACACTGTATTTGTGTTGGAGGCCATTCTCTTTGACTCTTTGTAAGGCAGATTAAAAACTAATTAAAACAAACAACTAGATATTTGCAGTTAAGTTCTTTTTCTGAATAGCAGTTAGCTGTGAATCAGCTTGCATTCTATCTAGGGTGTTCCCCAGATTAGTGTACTGTGCTGCCTGGGACAGACTGCAGGTTGACCCTGACCAGGAAAAGCACTTACCTGTGCAGATCCACCTCACTTCCTTGCTAGGAGACCTGACTCTCTCCCTGGCTCTGCTTCTTAATGTGACTCAAAATAGGGGACAGCAACACTATCCAACAGCGGCATGCTGATGATAAACTCGGCATCGTACGCAGACGCGGGACTCTACATCTGTGAGAGCAGCGTGTTCACTGTCCCCGGGCTCTACGCTAGAGGCAATGTCACGCTCCGGGTTTCGGGTAAGCCAGCCTCCTGTCCCCAGTGCTGCATGCTTACATATTACATCCTGGCTCTCGCAGACCATGATTCCTGAGGGCTTCTGATCCACCTGAAGCCTTAATTAAATAGGCTGGTTTGAGCATATTGGTGGAATGGACTCATTTTAATAAAATCACATTTTAAATCTTAAATGAAGACTTGCTTTTGTGTTTCTGTGGAGTGAAACTAGATCTATGTTGGGCCTCAAAGAGTTGGGAATTAATTTTTTTTTTTTGGTTTTGAATTTATACATTATGACCCATTCCTAGCAAAACACTATTCCGCTCTCTCCCTAATCCATCTCTTGACCAAACTTGGATGGGGACTATCCTGGATCATTGTTCCCACATTTCACAAAAGTAATTCTCATCGATTGTGGGTGAAATTAAATAACATAGTGATGTGCTGGGCAATGAACCTTGTTTTGTAGAATGAGTAGTTTTCATTTAGTCATTTAGTCACTATTGCTTATAGCCCCTCATCTGGAGGGAAGATGTCAGTGCCTGATTCTGTCATCTGAAGCTTTGAACTTAGGAGTCACAGCACACAGAAAAAAAGCACAAGATTTGGGCTTTTAAGTCAGGACCGCAGCTGGGATTTCCTTTAGTGTTTTGTGCTGTCTGACAGGAAACACAAGCTTTGAAACCCTGAGACACACTTGCTTTCTGTCTTACTAACCCCACCTGAACCTCACTTTCTGTTCCTTACTAATTCCACCTAAACCCCGATTTCTGATCCTTGCTAGCCCCACCCAAACCCCACTTCCTGTTCCTTGCTAACTCCACGGGAACCCCGCTATCTGTCTTACTAACCCCACCTGATTCCCAAATTTCTGTTCCTTACTAACCCCACTGGAACCCCGCTTTTTGTCTAACTAACCTCACCTGAACCATCCTTTCTGTTCCTTACTAACGCCGCCTGAAACCTACTTTCTGTTCCTTGTTAACCACACCTGAATCCCACTTTCTGTTCCTTACTAACCCCACTGGAACCTCGCTTTCTGTTCCTTAATAACCCACCTGAACCCCGGATTCAGTTTCTTTCTAATCTCACCCAAACCCCACTTTCTGTTCCTTCCTAACCCCACATTCTATTCCTTATGGACCCTTCCTAACCCCACTTGAACTCTGCTTTCTGTTCCTTGCTAACTCCACCTGAAGCCCGCTTTCTGTTCCTTACTAATTCCACTGGAAACCCGCTTTCTATCTTACTAACCCCACCTGAACCCAACTTTATGTTCCCTAATAACCCACTTGAACCCCACATTCTGTTCCTTTCTAACCCCACCATAACCCTGCTCTCTGTTTCTCTCTCAGGAAAGCCAGAGATTGCTCCTGCTCCCGAGGCCAAAGTACATAACATGGGTGACACTGTGACACTTTCCTGCTCTGCCTATGGATATCCTGACCCTCAGTTCTCCTGGACTCCTTCAGGCAAACAGGTTTGTGGCTCCAACTTACATCCTTTCTCCAGAGTGCATCTTACGACCAGCCTGAGTGTGCTCTCTTAATCCTGGTGTGCTGAAAAGCTCCTCTCCATCCGACAGGCGGTTATGGTCCAGGAGAACAAGGTCATTAGCACGTTAACGCTTGAAGCTACGGAAACCGTGCTTAATGGCGGGGTCACATGTGAGGCCACGAATGAGCATGGAAAGGATACCCAGCAGTTCATGGTTGTCATTAGCAAAGGTTTGGGTGCTTCAATTATCCTAATTTTTAATCGTGATCTACTGTCAATCATATTTAATCGGATTTTCTCTTTGTGTTCCAGAATCTTCCACAGACAACGGTGGTGCGGGCAGAGGTAGACATTCATCTGTCTTTTCTAACCTCCTTGGGTCCCTCTCAGCAGTGTACATTGTATATTGTATATACTGTAATTGAGCACTGTATTTGTATATTGTACATTGTACATTGTGTACTGTTACTGAGCACTCTGTAAATTATATATTGTTTAGGGACTGTAGAAACTATATTTGTCATTGTTGTCCAATATTTTGTGGACACCTCAGTTTTCCTTCCTGGGGCAATAAAGTTTTCGGTTCTGTTCTATGTCCTTCTCTCTTTCTTCTCTGAGAATGTCATCTCTTATTCTCCTGTGGTGTCCTTTCCTCCTCTTCTCTTCGCACGGTTTTCTCTGACACTCCACTGTCTTGCCATGTTGTGCCGTGGGTCTGCTGCTTTGCCTACTGTGTTGCCAACGTTGTGTGTTGTTGTGTCTCGAGGCAGTGGTGTGGCCTTGCTTAGTCGTAGACTATTTGTTCCTGTTGTGCTGTGAGACTCAGCCTCATCTTTTTTCTTCATATGCTGCTCAAAGGGAATCCCATGCTTAAATCAGGTCTGTAAGAAGGCAGCCGCGCCTGTGCCTGTGAGCATCAGTCTGTGTGAACTACCTCGTCCATTATGCGTTTCTCAGGCTGTGTGTATGTGTGTGTGTTTGTTCATAGATAGCTGCCACTGTCTTTCTCTATCTGTGTCCTTCCCTGGACTCATTATCTTTTCAGTATTGATGTAGTTAAGCAGGGTTCTATCCACCCCCACCCACCCAATCCACCATTTTCCACTCACCTCCCTCCATGCTTCCCCTCCTTCTCTGGTGCCACAGCTGACAAGCAGCAGGGCGGCGCCGCTGGTGTCGTGGTGGCAGTTGTAGTGTGCGTGCTGCTACTCCTCCTGCTGGTCACTCTGTTGTATTGCCTGCAGAAGAACGGAAAGTTGCCCTGTGGGAAAGAGGATAAGAAAGAAGTGTAAGTGATAGACACCGAGGATGGGTGGCCATTGGAGCCGCTCTGATTGGTCACTCTGTCTGGGTCTTCGCCTGGCCTCGTGCCCTTGCCCTGTTCATTGGCTGTGTTGAATTCCTCTGTTGCAGTGCTTCTGGGGATATAAAAAATGACATTGTGGTGGAGATGAAGTCCGAGAAAGCCAAGGAGGATACTGAGCTGCTCAGCAAGCATCCAGCTACAGAGCAGGTGTGCGGGGGTTGGGGGGGGGTGGCTGTGGGACAGTTTCGGAGATATGTCTGCAGCTTGGTGCTGGGGTGTCCCCTCTGGCGCACAGTTTATCCTAGTTTTAATTTCAGCTGTGCCGCTAATTCATTAGCCGTTATTGAGGCTTGATTGTATGAATCGAATGAACGGAATTGAATTATAAAACCCAATTCAATAACCAGCTGAAACAGGCCTCATAATTAACTGCCCAGCTGGAAGCTGGACACTTATTGTGGGGAGACTGAGAAACTGTCACTAAGGATGTTTTTCAGTCACGGAACACTGCTGTTACTTCCTTTATAGTCCAACATCTGAATTTCCAAAAATGATTGCAATAAGTGGCTTCTATCATATAGCCATATACTGGTAATCATGTCTGTTTAACCATGCGGTTAGGGGTAGAGATATTAGCTTCCAGCCGATAATGGCCAATACAGAAGCTAAACCAGGAATAGCTGTTGTGTACAAATATTAATTTGCTTCTTTTTGTTTTGTTTCTAGTGATGAACTGAAGGATGGACAGATAAGGATGGGTGGAGAGACCAGTGAGGATGGGGTCAAAATGGTGATCGAATTTTTTTTATTTTTTTAAAACCCAGACACAAAACTGAGCGAGACTTCCGGGGCGTAAAGGAAACTTGTGATGTCATGGAGGACAGAGAGTTCCAGGTTATTCTACTGCACCACAGCTTCTCTGTAAACTGGGAAATAGATCCTGGCCTTCAAGGCAGGTTAATGTAGTACAGTTTGGCCAGACACAGTACGTCAAGTTTCTGCATCCAGATGCAACACACTGATTGGTTACTGGGTATCTGGGCTATGTGCTTGTGTCTGTGCTGTAAGCTAGCATGTATATCTGCATTGTGATGTTCATGTTTATCTGTGCAGTGTGTATGCTCTTTGAATTGCATGTGCGGTCATTCTGCTTGTTTTTCATGCTATAAGATTGGGGGTGGGGTGGGGTGGTACCCTCTCAGCATTGCCTGCTCATACATGCACTGGCTGAAACCCACACTCCCCTTCTGTCATGCCATAAACATTGTTTTTCCAGCCAGATCAGTTTAGCCGTACTTCACTGTGGAGTGCTGTTACAAAGCAGATGACCAGAACCCATCTGTGGTTCAAGTCTGGGTTTTAAAATCTGGGTATCGCCAATGTTAACTGGTATCATTTGCCCATCCCTGTTTCTGCTTTTGAAAAAAGGTTTTGCTAATCTTTTTTTTAATTTGCTTTATATTTTCTTCATCTTGAGGCTTTAACCACACCAAATGGGAAAATCCTGCTTAATATTTGTGTGTTTTAAAATCACTGCCAACTTTACTCTTTTCTCATTCCCATTTTGGGATTTTTCAGTTGTGTAGACTTTTGCAGATTGGGTTTTCCCCCACCCCTGACCGCACAGTGTCCTGAGAGAGCTTGACTGCTTGCGATGACCGTGAGAAACGTTAAGCAGACAAATATAAAAAGCTTTGCAGTCACAGTCAACCCTTATTTGCCCAAAATATGTGTTTTGCTAGTACTCTTAAAACAAAATGAGAAAGTAGAAGTCAGAAGAAATTTTTGAACCCAAGTCTATATTATCAGACCTTTAATAATCACGCAAATGTACTCCATTCTGCACTTTTTATCTTGCAAAGAAAAACATCCACAATTCAAAATATATTATTCCATGGGCCGTTTGTATTCATTTAGTGGCAAACTGTGCCTGTGAGTCAATATGGCGAAAATGAAATTCAGTGAGCTGGCATTAAATAACCATTTTTCCCTGATAATCTTGCAATGCGTCCAGTACGATGAAGCTGTCCTCTCCTTTTATAGAGCAGAACATGGAGTGTCAACTGATGTATCACATCACGTGTGTCATGAAAGGGACAGGATGGGAAATGTAGGAGCAGGGGATGCCTTTGGATTATAACTTTATGTGGATTATGGTAAATAGTTTTCAATGAATTTAAGTGTCAGTGCTTTGAATTATATATATATATATATATATATATATATATATATATGTGTGTGTGTGTGTGTGTGTGCGTGTGTGTGTGTGTGTGTGTGAGGACAATTAGATTGCCTTATTTTTTACAGCTGTAGCACAGAGAACAGTGCCAATGACTTTGTATTACACTGGAATTAATGAGTATCCCACTTTCATAGAGATGTTTTTTTTTGCTGGAGCTGAGAAATTTCACATACAACTACTTTTTATATGTATATCTGATCTCAGCTCATCATGGATTTCAAAACGTATGGCTTAATGACTGTTAACGAGGTCTGTGATTGCAGGTAAACCTGTGATTTGGTATGTAAAACAACGAATGCTTGCCTGTTTGCCTATTTGATGGTTAAAAATGTGATATGAAATGTATCTTCATTTTTTTAATGGTACTATTTTACTGCTGTTGAACTACTGATTTGTTTCCTAGTTGTTTCTACCCTCACAGCAGTATATATAAATATATGTTTTATATATAATATTATTTTTATTATTATTTTTCTTTAGGACTCTGCTCTTGTTTAATGAAACCTGGTGTGTGTGCTTTTGCTCTTGTATATTGTATATTTTGTGGTATGAACCTGTGAGCTCTGTAGATTGTTGTGTCTTTTTATAGTCTGTAGACATTTTCCTGCAGCGTCAGAAACCCACCAAAATGACATAGAACCCTCCCAAATCTCTGTAGTTTTTTGACATGCTTTAAAAAGAGTTATCAATTGACTTGTTTTGAAATATATGTTTGCTTCCTGTTCTTATTTTTGCTTTATTCACTAAATATTTCGCTTGGCTGTAATTCCAGACCATTTTGTTGATAAAATCCCTCCACTGTAGCTATGTCTGCAGCAGTGACGTGGTCACACTCTTCTCATTTAGGCACCACACTATATTCACAGGTCAGTAACTGCACACTTGTTTAATATGATCCACAGGCTGAGTTAATGCTTCACTTTTGTCATTCAAGTATGTCTCTGGTCAAGGTGATTTGGAATTGGTTTATAAGTAGGATGAGAGATTCTCAGTCACTGTTTAGTATAACTGTTTAACGTAAGATTAAATGTGCAGTGCAGACATGGGTGTTGATTAATGCGAAGGCCATCATTATCATAATCATGACCATCATCACCATCATCATCATCACTTCATCGGAAAGCAAACATCTTCACAGCACAAAAGTTTCCGAGGTGCTTGTAAACAAATCCTCAAAACCTCAAAGTCAGTGCTTTTAGCTTTCTAATGGTCCTGTAGCTTTTACCATTAACTATAGACTCCACTTTATATCTATCAAGTCCCATCAGTGATTATGTAATTCTGCAGGCTTTCCTCCAAAAGCCCATTACGATATTAAAAGCCATCCTTGATTAGCCAGGCAGTGTGGGCTTTGATTTGCATTCTGACCTCCGAGAGGAAACTGAAAGGCCAGAGAGGAGATGAATGTGCGATGGCCACTCCTGGGCAGCAGGTGTGATGCCTTTGTGTTTGCATGTCTGTGTCTCTCATGGTTTTATTTCCCTCAATATAGCTGTGGGTTTGTGTGCTTATGCCAGGAATCATGACTCCTAAGTGACTCCTAAGTAGCTGTTGTCTTTTCAAAGCTACAGAATATACATAAGATACATAACCCGCTTGCTTTGACCGCAGCATTACTGACAATGGCAGCTACTTCACTCTGACTTTGAAAGGGGATCTCGTTGCCTGAGGAAGAAAGTGAGACATGTACATGAGTTGTTATGAAAGAGGGCTTCCTAACTGCACTGGCCTCCATTATGGGTAGCTAATTAATGCATAGTGCTTTGGGAACCGGAAGGACAGTGCAGTCATGCTGGGCGTTAGCCAGGTCGAGCTGACATAGTACGGTGGGGTTGACTGCTGAATATTCTACAGCTACAGCGCAATCCTAGCTGAAGTGTAGAATCAGCATGGCACCCAAATATAGTACTTTCCCCACAGCAATATCAACATCAACAACTAAGCTTAGGAGAAGTACACAAATATCTGCGAATTCCCATTATATATAGCTATAGAACAAGATTCTTAAAAATGTGAAATGTGCTGGAGAAATCTCGTTGAGTTGAGTTATCTGGCTTGCGTAATCTGCATTGTGTTATTTTATATTTAAAATATTTCCTGATAGCCACTGTTTTAAAATGGATGCTCTAAATTTGGTTGTGCAAGACCATTCTTCTGCAAGAACATTCTTAGTATGACTCAGCAGTTGACCTGAAACCTAAAAGCCTGTCAATAAATGCCATAATCATTCTTCCATCTAATAACATATTATTTTTACTGTGATGCATTCCAGTGATTCCTTAAAACCCCTCTACCTGCTATTAAAAATAACTATGGCTTCATTCATTTCCGCTCCACATTGCGGATGCTGGGTGACAGATGTCTTACTCATGTCCTATTTATAATTCTCTTTATATTTAGCTTAAATAAACTTTGCAAAGAGGGTTGCAAAGAAGTTTGAGAGTTTGAATAGCAAGGAATTGTTGTAATGATCAAACAAATCCTGACCAAGATAAGCCGTTAGAAGATGGATGGGAAACATGGACGACGTATGAGAGTGAGACACAGGGATAAACATGAACGTTGAATGACCTGGCAGTGTTTTTCACTGAACCCATCCATGCCTTCAAGCATATGAAGGTTGAGCTGCATTATTGGAATAAAAGCTTTGCCTTTGTTTCACCGTAAGTCATTTAATCTTGGCATTTCTGTTTGAATCAGTTAGCCTGTGTGTCATTTATCCATGGTCCCCCCCCCCCCCCATATGGGGCAGTAATATCAGCTAAATGGTTTAGCACATTTTATCAGCGCATATTTACTGAGTTATTTCTGTCTATAAAAAAAGCATTCAATTAGTGGAAAAAATTAAACCAGTTTTTTGAGACTGGCAAGGCCTGGGTCCACCCTAATCAGTCCTGGTGTGTTGATGACTCCCCAGCTGGCTTGTCCCAGTCAGCCAATTAGGAGTGTGAGAATGGAGTGGATGGGCTGGAGTGAGTTCAGGCCAGAGAGATAAGGGGAACGGATGGGGCTCCCCAAACGGCTGGTAACAGCTGCACCGCATTCCCAGGGAGCTTGATCAGAAGCTGCAGGCTATTGTTGAGTTCCGGGGGGCCTCATACAGGTGCCGCTCTTCGCATATCACATGAGCAGATTTTCACCACAATCTACCATAGACAGAGCATACTGTACCTAAGAAATATTCAGCTATGCTACATGATAGGCTCTGTTTTCCATTCCATGAGACTGTGTACTAGCACTGGCATAGATAACTATATCTGAGCTTTCAAAATCCAGTCACCCCCCTCCCCCCTAAGAGAAAAGCCTATTATGTTGTCTTTAATGAGGGCCGCTCTGTTAACCACCTAATGTAGCGGCGACTGGGAGCGCAGCTGTTTTTACGAGTCACCTGCCAATTAAATTTCATGACTCCCTATTTTAATATGCTTCAGATTGAAAAGGCGGTGGGGGGGGGGGGGGGGTCATTAACTAAATGAGATACATGTTTGTCAGCAGCTAACCTATTTTATGCCTCGTTTATCTAGATCTTTTAGGTAATAGGATTCATTGATACTTCACGTTGCATATGTATTTGTGTGGGACTAGGTCTCATTTTTGCCAGCTGAAAGATGAGTACAACACTGCTTATTTAATTCAGACTTGTAGTGACACTGGAGCTTATCCTAAGAAGCACAGAGCGCTAAGCACAGGGCATCTGCACAGCCTGCTATTACAGTGAGCACATATTCAGACAGTCAAGAACTGTGGGCTATTTAGAAACAAAGGCTCTGTCCTAATTGTTCCACTTGGTTCGCATTTACATGCTACCACACTTGGTGTTTGTGTTCATACACTTAGCATAATTATTAAAGGGTGTCCCATCCCTGGAGTAAGCCAAATGTAGCATTCTTAGTGTGCACTTTATCCACATTTCGGCAAATACTGCATGGAAGTGATTTTTGGCTAAGTATATACACCACAATGCACCACATCAGTGACGACTGGTTACATTGAATGCGAGGAAATCTGCCAACTAATCAGAGCTCAACATGTCTCTTAAGAAGTTGCAACGTTTTATAAAGAATGTTAACATATGCAGCATATCATGTTAACAATGTTAACATGTCTTCGTGAGGTTTCCTTCAGGTACTATGATTTCCTCCCACAGTCCAAAAACATGCTGAGTTGAATTGGAGTTATCAAATTACCTGTAGGTGCACATATGTGTGTGCCCTGCAAGTGGTTGGCACCCAATCTTGTGTAGTTCCTTGCCTTGCACCCAAATTCCCTGGGATAGGCTCTAGCCAGTCAATACAGCATCAGTACATCTTGGGAATGATAGATACAAGTCCTGTACAGTGGCCAGAGGGATTTTGAGCCATTCCTTTGGCAGAACAGTAGCCAAGTCTCTAGGTGATGCTGATGGATGAAAACATTTCCTGACTTGCTTCTCAAAAACACCCCAAAGTAGCTGAATAATATTCAGATCTGGTGACTGTGTAGACCATGGGAGATGTTCAACTTCATTTTCATGTTCATCAGACCACTCTCTCACCAGCCTTGCTGTGTGTATTGATGTATTATCATCCTGATACATGGCATCACCTTCAGGGTATAATGATTGAGCCACTGGGTGAACATGGTGCTCCAGAATGGTTCAGATGTCCTTGGCAGTGACATGCCAATCTAGAACAAGTAGTGGGCCTCGGGAACGCCATGATACTGCACCATGCTTTACTCTGGGTACGCAACAATATGGGTTGTAAGCTTATTTGGGGCTTCTCCACATCGTAACTCTCCTGGATGTGAAAAAGACAGTGAAGGTGGATTCATCAGAGAACAATACATGTTTCACATTGTCCACAGCCGAATATTTGTGCTGCTGGCACCACTAAAACTGATGTTTGGCATTGCCACGAGTGACCAAAGGTTTGGCTATAGCAGCCGACCATGAATATTGAGTTCCCAACGAACAGTTTTGGTGGAAACAGGAGAATCAAGGTGAGCGTTTAATTCGGCAGTGAATTTGGCAGCTATGGTTTGATGCATTTTGGACACAATCCAGGTTCATACCTGGATGTCCCTTTCAGATAACTTCTTTTGCCTCCACAGTTACTCCTGTTGGATGTGGTCCGTCCTTCGTGGTGATGCCAACACTACCCTGGATACCATGGCTCTCAATGCACCACTTGCTGTCCTGGTCACACTGTTGACCAGGTGTTTCAGTTTCTTTGTCCATCCCTTGTATGTATAGTAGAAATGCTGGTCCCCACAGAAAACAGCTATAGGAAAGATCTTGATAACTGTTTATATTCTGACTCAGAGCAGAGACAAAGAGCAGATGTGGGTCTTTTCTGCAGGTGTCAAGCTTAATGCCCCCTGCTCTTCATCCTAAGCCGAGACCTTCCAAGTCCATGGGCATCCTGAGAAGACAATAGGGATTGCCTGTGAATGGACTGACCTGGGAAAATGTGGTTTAAATGAAAGTTCTGTTTATACATGAAAAAACAATTCAGCTCAGTCTTGAGTTATTTCACTTAACTTAGCAGAGGCATTCACATTAGTGACGTAGGGGTGAGGTGGAGGATCAATAGTCTTATTCAAGGCCCCAACAGTGATATAATTATTCTGCTGGTCGCACAAAATCACAAAAATATAATGCTTCATCTTTTATTCTTGCTGGATGTTTATGGGCTGGGTCTCTCCTTCGCACTGTGAGGTAGGTTTCCTGTAGATGCCAAGGGCCCATTTTACAAACCAGTGTAACTCCAAGCCTTCCTGGCTACCTCATTCATGATGTGGATATAGTGAAGCGTCTTTTAAAAGCCACCAAAGCCAGAAGAACCTTTTGCGTTACGGCAAGTTGCATCAAGGCTGAAACCTCAGTCGCGGGTGAGTCTCCCACAGATGGTGTTGAAAATGTCTAACATTATCTCATAATGTTTTTATTTTAATTACCTGCCAACAACAAATGTCTTGTGGATGGAGCACAGTAATATAGTCATTTCCTGTCTGCCAGCAGGAGGGACAAGTCAGGGGAAACAGGTGACGGTCCACGGATTGTGGATAGATCAGGGTGATGAGTATATGTGCAAAAACTAATATTAATGTTGCACAACTTAGGTTCACTGAATCAAATGTTCTGTAAATGCCCATGCAGAGCAGTCAACGGACCTAGTGACTCCAAAGAGATGGTTTGCCCTATCAATATTTTCAAGGCATTTTTTTGTCTTTTCTACACGTACTTCTGTCCAGAATGAGGAAGGACCCATCAGCTCATCAGACCATGCTACCATTTCTGTTGCTTGAGGTCCTCTTATACAAGGTTATGTACAGTATCTTAGATACAAATGGTTTTTGAACCGCAGCCATGTCATAAATTTCAGTTTTTTGATGTTCTGAATGAACAGTTCTTCGAGACGGGGTCACATAGGCACTGAGTGGATGTTCATTTTTCAGGCTCTGCTTTTGTGGTTTTACAGCAGCCTCCCTGTCAGGTTGCCATCTAGCCCACTTGTGACTGAAGCAGCTGTGATTCAGGCACCGACCGTCTAGGGTTCTGTTAGCTGCCTCGCGTTGTTCAGAAGCCTCATATATTGAAGTGTTGAGTGTTAGTCCTCTTTTACAGCTGACACACATACTGTTGGAATCCAGTCTAATCAGGCTCACCTCAGTACTTGCATTTGGAATTGTAATGTGTTTCTTTTCCTTTTTATGTGGTGTTCATGTATATATTTTGTTGTCTTCGCTCTTTGTTCTCAGGGCAAATATAAATTGATAACATATCTGATCCTTGATAACTGAATATTAATGGGACATTGCACCAAACCCTTTTATCATTACTGACTCTTGCTCCTTAATGACCCACACACTTTGAGCTAGTGTGTCCTTTGGTGAGACACTGGGGATGCTTATGGTTTTTGGTGGACCGTGGAATTCAGAGATAAGTCAAACTAGCAACAGTAATTTAATGCAGCGTTATGACAGTGTTAGAAGTACAATTCTCCAATACATTAACTCTCAGATTTTCAGCACTGTGCTCAATAGCTACATACGTCACAGTGTCGGCAGTTCACTGGTTATTTATGGAGGTACACTCTACCATTTTGCCCTGTCTTTATTGTCCCAAGCAAGTATTTATTTGTTGAGTGAATTTTAAAGAATGTTCAACTTTTCAAGAGGCGTGTTGCTACTTGCATGGTTTATATGGGTCTTTGGCCCCCAGTACCTCACTCCTACATTCTCCAGAT